GTTCATCTGAGGACTTTAAGACATAGAACAGATGAACACAAGGGAAAGGAAACAAAAGTAATATAAAAACAGGGAGGGGGACAAAACAGAAGAGACTCATAAATATGGAGAACAAACTGAGGGTTACTGGAGGGGTTGTGTGAGGGGGGATGCTCTATGTGGGTAAGGGGCATTAAAGAATCTACTCCTGAAATCATTGTTGTGCTATATGCTAATTAATTTGGATGTAAATTAAAAAAATAAAAATTAAAAAATATATACATATTTTGCTCTTTTGTTTTCAGTGTTGTTCAGGTTTCAGATACGTTTAGTGGGTCATGTAGTATTTTGCAACATATAAAATCTTTCTTTTAAAATTTAACGATGTCACAGAATTCCAAATTTATTTAAAATAAAAGATCATTTGATAGCACATGACCTTTCAGAAAAGAAATCTAAGTCCCCAAATAGAAATATTTTACTTCAGGGAATTTCTATTTGTGCTAAAACTAGTATTCTCCAATCAGAACACTCAATTTTTAACCAATAGTGGTTTTAAATTGTCCAAAAAATCATGCAGCATTCTTTTCCTAATACTGCGTTTTAATTTTAGCCCAGTTAATAGTGTTGAAATGTTTCTGCGGAATCATAAGGACAGTATTACTCATGAATTCCTTTATTCCTCTCTCACTTATTTCTTTACATTTTTCCAACAAATACTATTGTGTCAAACATAGAATAGCATAGTAAAAACCACTTATTCTATCATGAAACACTTATTTGTATCTCTACGGAAGTTAGTACCAGACTTTCTATTGTTCAACTGCAAATGAGGAGTCTCCCTCACCCTGCACCCCACCCGGTGTCACTGTACTAGCAATGTTGTCAGCACATGACACACACTCTTGATCAAGACCTTCAGGGCAGTTTCATCCACATTGTAGCTGACACTACTCAGCTGCAGACATGAACAACCAAGGCGTGACTTATGCGGAACTCCATCATGTTAAGGGCTCAAAAAGACAGCAAGTGCAACCTAAGGGCACGAAAAGTTCCATTTCAGTAACTGAGGAAGAGATAGCCTATGCAGAATTAAATCTTCAAAATGCCTCTCGGGCCCTTCAAGGGAATGGCAAGAAGTCTCCCTGCAAAGGTAAAACATTTAATACACACACAGTATACCTGTTCTAGAATGTGCAGTTGGGGTACAGGGGTGTAGGGAGTGAGTAGGGAATGATCTCGCATATTTTTCATTTGTGAGAATCCGAACTTGAATTTGGAATACGGTACTGTAATTGAAATCTGAGAACTAACTTTGTTCAGGCATTGTTGTAATTTGTAGTCTTTACCAACATGTCATGGAGTAGTATATTTACTGTAAATGCAAGGGTATATTCTGAGAGAAGATTACAATAGCAGATACAGGTTTGGAGTCCACGTTTTTATGTGGGATTCCATGTGCATCCTTGGTTCTGTTTGTAAATTTTCTAAATGATTATTTCTGTACATCCTTTCTCAGTGTTTTCATTTCTCTTTCTACTATTTATCATCATGTCCAGAGAAGCTCATTGCTGGGATCCTGGGAATCATCTGTCTTGTCTTGATGTCCACTGTGGTAATACTAGCTGTTAATCCCGGTCAGTAAGTGTTTAAATGACGAAAGGGAATATTTCACTTTAGTGGTCCTCAGTGGCTCGAAATATTTCATAACATTATGGAATTTTATTCTCTTAATGCATATAAGCTCTAACTTGGAATGATTATTCTGAAACTGTCAAAGGTAGAAATAACAACAATTGTCGATAGTATTACATATTTATTCTCATAACTCGGATTTCATAACCCAAAGACAAGGTATAGGAAAGAGACCTTATGGAGAAACACAAATTAATTCTTGAGATTGGTTACCAAATACTGTAAGAGGTGGTGCGGTTTGATTCTTTTAGGCTTTTGAAATGTCTTCCCCCGTTATTCACTTTTTACTGGTAAAAGTAATTTTATTACAGTTTTCGAATTCTAAACCATACACCAAATTTCAAACTAAGAGACTCAGTCATTATGATTTGTTTAGTTTAACATGAAGTTTTTATGAGGATTACTTTAATTGTTCTAGGTACTGACACACCGGAGCAGAATAATTCTTCCCTGGAAACAAGGATCCAGAAAGGTACAACATCATTTTCAAAATTCTGTTATTAGTATAGTTTCTATTTTGTCTCCATCTGAGGCTAGGCAAAGAAGTTAATCGAGTCTATTTGGGTGAAAATCAATTAGAAGTTCACATATAAACTTTCTGAAATAATGATTGTCAGAGAATATTACTTCTTCTGTAACAATGTGAAGAAATGCTCATTTAAAATCACCATACCCATTGTTACCAATCACCTCAAACTTCCTCTTGCTATAACATGATAAGAGTCAAATCATTTTACTCTCCATAAAACTGATTTTGTTCAGTGACTCTCAGGACATGTAGAGATGGATATTTTTGTGTGTTTGCTTTATATGGGCACATAAATTAGGATGAGAACCTGACCATTCTCTGTGAGTGTGTGTGAGCCTATTTTATTTATACCATCCTGGGAGGATGCGTAGATATGTTATGTATACATATGTACATACCCATGCAAAAATTGGAATTTTGTAATATTCAAAATTTCTGATAATATCTCATAATCTTCTTCTAGCACATCACTGTGGTCGTCGTCCAGAAGAGTGGGTTACGTATTGCAACAATTGCTATTACATCAGCACTGAAAAAAAACCGTGGAATGAGAGTTTGATGTCCTGTGCTTCTAAAAACTCTAACCTGCTCTCCGTAGATAATGAAGAGGATGTGGTAAGATTTCAAATGCTTCCAGAGTTTATTAAAAGCTTATCAGTTAATATTATATTTGTAGAGCTCATCCATATTTTTGTAAATATTTGTAGTTTATTTGTTTTGAAGTCTGTTTATAGTTTGGGTATGATATTTTATGTATATTTTTATATCGTTACTGCACATTTAATAATTTCCAGTTCTTGCTTTTCATAGAAAACCATGTTTCTATAAATGCCCTTTAGCATGAAATAAACTTTACTATTTAATTTTGACGCATCAAGGAAAGTAAGTACATGATTGCACAAATTGAACACAAACTAGTTAGAACCACGCAATTACAAGTCAGATCATGATGTAGAAGTTTAGGGCCTTTATTAGCCCTACCCATTTACATTATGAAGTATCTTTGCTTAATTTTGGACTTTTTCTCAATGGAATCATGCAGTATGCATTTTTATGTGTGTCTCCCTTCGCTCTCATATGACATTTGTAAGGCACTTATATTATTGCATTTGCCTATAGTTTGTGAATTTTCACTGCTGTCTTCTATGAATATGACATTTTATTTTTTATTTTTTTTTAAACGTTTATTTATTTTTGAGACAGAGAGAGACAGAGCGTGAACGGGGGAGGGGCAGAGAGAGAGGGAGACACAGAATCGGAAGCAGGCTCCAGACTCTGAGCCATCAGCCCAGAGCCCGACGCGGGGCTCGAACCCACAGACCGTGAGATCGTGACCTGAGCTGAAGTCGGATGCTTAACCGACTGAGCCACCCAGGCGCCCCCAGCTGGTGGTTTTGATTTGCATTTCCCTGATGATTAGTGACCTTACGCACCTTACCTGTATCTGCTTGCCATTTGTATGTCTTTCAAAAAATATCTACTCAAGTCTTTTGCCCATTTTTTGAATTGGATTGTGTTCTTTGCTTTTATTACATTGTAAGAGTTCTTTATATAAATGGATATTATTCCCTTATCTGATATTTGTTTGCAGATATTTTCTTCTGCTCTCTACATTGTTCTTTCACTTGCTTGGTTCTTTCCTTGCTGAAAAGATGCTCTTTGGCTTAATGCAGTACCACTTTTCTTATTTTAGTTTTTGTTGCCTGTGGTTTCGGTATCCAAGAAACCATCGTCTACACCAATGTCAAGGGTATTGTTCCTTTTGCCTCTACCAGTGATTCTATATGTTTATGTGTTTCAATGTTTCTAATTTTCCTCTCTCTGTTTCAGCTTCAAGAATTCCCTTTAGCATTTCAGTTAGGCAGGTCAAATACTTAAAACTGGTTCTGACACATAGTGGTCTAGAGACCACCACGAGAGTCATGGTGCTGCTGTCCTCTGCCATCCGGGGCAAGCTGAACCATTGACACACCATCCTGTGACAGGCTGGGAAAGCTTTTATCTCTTCTTCGTTTTCGAATGACAGCTTTGCTGAGTCAGGCATTCTTGGTTGGCTGTTTTTTTCCCCCTTTGACCGCCTTAAAAATATCATCCCACTCCCTCCTGCCTTATGTTTGGGAAGAAGATCTTGTCGAGATGATCTTTCTGGTATCAGGTACTGCATGCTGGCCTCAGAGCCCTCAGAGCAGTACTGGAACTGTCATCCAAGGTCAGGCACAGATAGAACTACCATCGCCACAAGGTCTCAGTGCACAGGTTCACTTACTGTGGCTGTGGCACTGGGGTCTAAGGTGGAGACACTTGCAGATATGCCACAGAAACTGTACCTGGGTCTCAGGGGCTCATCGCTCTGACTCTGGTTGACAGAAGCTATGTAGCAGTGACCACGGAACTTAGGATGACAAGCCCTAGCAAGGATGGGTCAGAGGCTGGAGTTGCCATGGGTGATGTCATGTTTTCAAACAATAGCAACCTCGTGTTAGCAATGGCAGTCCAGAATCTAGGCATCGAGTGGGGATGGGGTTCAGAGCAGCAGGAGGACCCTTTACATGAAGATACAGAGTCATGACATGGAACACTATGGGTAGAATTCAGGACAGCAGCAACTTGCACCTAGAGTGGCAGCTAAAGCATTCTTAGGAGCTGTGGGCAGTGTTCAGGGCAGCAGAGTCTGCCCTGGTAATGTTGAGACAGATCCCCAACCTGGGACCAGGAGAGGGCAAAAATCAGACCAGCTCTAGTCTTGTATAAGGGAGGCGCTGTGGCACCCAGTCCCTAAAAGCAGCAATTGGCATCCCCGAAGGCAAGTCTGACCATAGCAACAGCCCCAGGCTCTGGGAAGAGATACAGAGAGAGCACTCTGGGCTGCTCCAACTAGTGGGATCAGGATCAGTATCGGTGGGACACCTCTGTTGCAAAAGCTGCAGATGTCCACATTGTTGAAGATTATTGGGTTCTCCTGCTCCTCTTCTCTCCATGAGGTGACTCCCCCTAAGGGGATTCCTCCAGGTGCCAAGTGGCTCTCAGCTGCAGGGTTGGGGGATGCAGGTAAAATGCTTCCTTTACGTTCTATGGGACCATCTTGGATTTTTGAATTACACCTGGTGTGTGCTGCTTCTCTGTGGTCTAGATTGTTCCCTGAGCAGTTCTCAGTTTGGAGTTGTATAATTATTGTTCTTATTGCTTTTATTGGGATTTGCTCATCTTCTATCTTGCTGATAGCACTCTTTACGCATATATCATTAGCTGATCGCCATCTACTTCAAATTAATTCTAATTTCCATTAAAATATGTTATATTAACACGAATATAGCTCCTTTTCCCCCTCCTAAGTATTACAGGTATTCCTCAGCTGTTCAAAAATTTGCATTATGCCTGCGGCACCTGCGTGGCTCAGTTGGTTAAGCGTCCAACTCTTGATTTTGGCTCAGGTTGTGATCACATGGTCCATGAGATATGAAGCCTTGAGTCCAGCTCTGCCCTGACAGTGGGTAGCCTGCTTGGGATTCTCTCTCTCCCTCTCTCTGTGCCCCCTCCCCCCATGCTCTTAATAAAATAACAAACACACTTTTAGGAAAATTTGCCTTACGTCAGTTTGCTTTTGTGAAAGACCTACGTTAGTACCAGTTTTTGCTGAACAACAGAATCTGAAGGGGATTAACGTATTTAGGAGAAAAGGTGAAAAGCAAAAATTGTGCTCGCTGCTAGTTTTACTGTTAGAGGCAGCTCACACCCTCCAAGCAGCAAGATTGGCCCTGTCAATTTCATTCCTCAGAAACTATACTCAGCATCTGAGTTCAGTACCAAGCATAGCTTTCAATTGTGTTTTTGAGCATCTGTGTTCAATTTATTTTTCATATCCATTCGCAAGGTGTGTCTTATATCAGAAAAACGTAAGGGAGGTTATTTGGGGGTTATTTATTTTGATGGGGAATGTTTTGGGGATCAGGGAATATTCAACAATTTTTCCATGTGAATTAATGTTATTTACTTCTTTAGTGTCCACCATTTCGGCTTAGGAACATTTTCATAGGGACGCTTAACTTTCAGGGAGAGCCGGAAACCTGTTCTTACAAGGTTGTACTGAAGCCAGCTACCTTCAGATTCCAAACACTGATTTCCCACTGGGGACTTGAAATGACGCACTCTTGGTGACTTTGCGCCACAGAAATTAACAAATGCTAAAAAAATAACGTACGTGGTATAGATCCCACCGTACAGTGTTATAATGATTGCTTTAAATAATCTCATCTTGTGAAGCAATTCAGAGAGGAAAACATACACACAGATTTTAAAATATACAAATATATTTACCATTTCTGCCGATCATATTCCGTCTTGTAGATATGCGTTACCAACTGGCATCATTTCCTTGTAGCTTAAAGAACGTTTTTAGAGGGCAGGTATACTAAGAGGAAATTGTCTTAGATTTTGTGTTCGTTGTGGGGTCTTTATGCAACTTCTTTTTTGAAAATTTGTTTTGCGAATTTATAATTCTTGTTTGACAAGTGTTTTTATTTTGTTTTGTTTTGGGTTTGTGTGTGTGTGTGTGTAGGGAGTTGGTTTGTTTCTTGCTTTTTTTTTTCAGGACTTTCAGCTCTGAATTTGACCTTCCCTGTCTTTTATTCTTTATTGTTTCTGGTAAGAACTCATCTATTAATCATATCGTTATTTTACTAAATGTAATGAGTAGTTTTTTTTTTTTTCTTGCTTCTGTCAAGATCACCTCCTGTCTTTTGTTTGCCTTTTTATTTTATTTTTTTTTTAAGTTGTGGCAAAAAAAAATGCACATAACGTAAAACTGACCACATTATCCATGTTAACAAAAATAGACTGTTTTTTTGGAGCAGTTTTAGGCTCACAGCAAAACTCAGACAAAGTACAGAGATTTTCTGTATTCCTCTACTATCTATGTGTCTGTGCACCAGTAATGCAGAGACTTTCTCACTTTCAGCATCCCTCAGTGGGGTGGTTCGTTTGCTTCAATTGATACACCTATCTTGACACATCTTTGTCACCCAAAGACCATAGTTTACTTTAAGGTGTACTCCTGATGTTGTGCATTTTATGAGTTTGGAGAAATATATAATGATGTGTATCAACCATTATGGAGTTATACAGAATAGTTTCACTGCCTTCAAAGTCCTCTGTGCTCTACCTATCCAAACTTCCTTCCCCCAAACCCTGTCAACCACTGATCTATTTATGGTCCCTGTAGTTTTGTTTCTTCCGTATTTTCACACAGTGGGAATCACACGCTATTTCACATCTTACATTGCATTTAACTAGATCATGCATCTTAAGCAACTCTAAGCACCCATGCTAGGAGCGCTAACTATATCTAGAACTTCTACCTTGTAAAACTGGGACTCTATACTCATTAAACAATAATTACCTTCTCCACTTTCCCTTCAACCGTTAGCAATCGCCATTCTACTCACTGTTTCTACTAATCTGACTACTTTAGACGCTTCATGTAATTGGAATCATACACTTTTTTTTTTCTTTTTTGCGTTTGTGTGACTGGCTTGTTTCACTTAGCATAATGTCCTGGAGTTTCATCCATATTATGGAATTGGTTAGATTTCCTTCTTTTTTAAGGCTGGATAAATACATTGTTATGTGTATTGCACATTGCACGTTATGTGTTATGTGTATTGCACATTGCACGTTTTCTTGATCCATCCATCCATCAGTAGACATTTGGACTGCTTCTACTACTTGGCTTTTGTGAATAATGCTTCAGTGAGGATGGATGTACACATCTCTTTGAGGTCTTGCTTTCAGTTCCTTTAGATATTTTGCAACATGTGGGATGATTGCAACATGATTCAGTTGGTAATTGTATTTTTAATTTCTTGGAGAGGCTCCATACTCTCCTTCATAACAGCTGACCAATTTATGTTCCCAACAACAGTATGCAAGGCTCCTCTTTTTCACCTTCTCACCAAAACTTTTTTGATTCTACCCAGCCTAATGAGAATGAGGTGCTATCTCATCGTGGTTTTGATTTGCATTTCTCAGATTATTAGTGCTATTGAGCATCTTTTCATATGCTTTTTGACCATTTGTATATTTTCTTTGGAGATAAATCTATTCAATTTCTTTGCTCATTTTTTAACTGTGTGGTTTGGTTTTTGTTGTTGTTACTGACTTGTAAGTTTCCTTATATATTTTGGAAATGAATCCCTTGTTTGATGTATGATTTGCAAGTGTTTTCGCCACTATTCATTCTGTTGATCACGCCCTCTGACGCATAGAAATGTTTTAGTTTGATGTAGCCTGTTTGTCTACAACGGACTTTTCCTTTGTAGTCTATGGTTTGGGTGGCATACCCGAGAAATCATTGCCAAACACAATGTTGTTTACTTTCCCCCCAGGTTTTCTTCATGCATTTACATAGTTTTACATTTATGTTTAGGTCCTTAGTCCTTTTTGAGTTAACTTTAGTATATGGTGGAAATGTAAGCAGCCAACTTCATTCTTTTACATGTGGATAGCCAGGTTCCCACACCATTTGTGACAGATACTGTTCTTTCCCTTCTGAATGGTCTTGGCACCCTTAAAAAAATGATGAGCTGAATATACATGGGTTTGTGTCTGAATATATCTTTAAATTATTGTTTCCATGGGAGATTCAGGGCCCGGGGCTTCCTATTCCTTCCTCTTGCTGATGGTATCCCACTTCAGTCTGAAATTGTGTGCAGGGCAGATATGGATTCTGTGGTACATGATGTGGTCCGAGGCTGATTGAGGTGGAAAATATGTCACCCGTTCCCTGATTTTCACACTGACTTAAAACACATCTTAATCCACCCTGTTACCTGAAGATTATTTCTTGGTCTAGGTTTGCAAGTGTCCCTCGGTCATTTCATTATGTCATGAGATGTGGATTTGTATGTGTTCATGCTATTAGCAGTTTGCTAAGCCTCTGGTGTTCACAAATATTTATTAAACTATATCTAATAAGTTGTTCATTCATTGTGATTTACGGATGTTGTTCTTTTTTTTTTTTTCTGCCTCTGTTGTTCTTATCAGATTCTACTTAGACCTAAGCTGGTTTTCCTGATCCTGTTTTGAAGGTTTTGAACCCTGTTAAATTTTCTCTTTTTTTTCTCTCTCATCCTATGGGATGAATAAATTCTGTCACTGTAACCACCATCTCATCAGTTTTGTCTACGGCATCTCCAATTTTCTGCAGAGAAAATTTAGTGAATTTTTCACTTCAGGTATGAATTTATACACTCAAAACGTCTCTGTGGTTTATTCATATAGTTTTATTTCACTGTTGGTATCACTGACTTGTTCTGTTGCTGCCATCACATTGTTCATTTAATTATTTGAAGTAACTTTTCATTATAATTTACATATATTTATGAATATTATTTGAAAATACTTTCTTGTGATAAATGTAACGTCTTATCCCATTAGAGGTTTCTAATGGCCTATGAATTCTCTTACTATGGAAGACATTTTCCAACTTCTTTTTATGTGTTCTGATTTTTCAAGTAGACATTCTTTGAAATATACTTTAGCAAACATACATTCTATTTTTTTTAGATTTATTATTTTTATAATTTGCATAAACATTACTGCAGAATCTTCTCTTCTAAAGTCTGCCTGCTGATATTTTTGTTCAGGTTTTCCAGATTCTTTTTGTTGATTTTTATTTTTCAGCCTATCTTCCTAGGGATTGCCCTTATAATTTTGTAGCTTAGATGTCAAATACCAATTTTTTTATTTTTTTAATTTTTTTTCAATATATGAAGTTTATTGTCAAATTGGTTTCCATACAACACCCAGTGCTCATCCCAAAAGGTGCCCTCCTCCTCAATACCCATCACCCACCCTCCCCTCCTTCCCACCC